GTGTGCGAGATCAAACATTTTACACTGTAGCTTCTTTAAAAAAACAGGAGAAAACTTCATTTTCTGTGTTGTCCCCTCGGTAGGGTGTATAAAAAAATATGTTTTGCAATTTGTTCGGTTAGTATAAAAATTATGCTCCAATATATTTAACTCAAATCGCTGATTTTGTTTGACGTTTGTCTAAAAGGTTCTAACTTTAGATTCAAGAGAGAGGCTTTAAGATTGAAGAAATAACGCCACTAGCACCCGACTGGAGATGAATTTGACCATTGCAAACGGTAAATATTACATCAGTTATAGCTCACTTGCCAACCCAGCTCACGCTAAAGGCCTTAAGGTGGCCCGAACTTATTTATATGCGTGTTGGTTATGTTTTTGATTTGCGTTTTTCAGAATAAAAGATTCAAACGATTTCTATGATTTTTGGCATCCTTAATAAATAATAATGGAACTTTAAGAAAATGTTATTTATTTTCTTGTAGGTATGAAAACCTTTGAAATATCGGCATATATTTAAAACCGCGTTTTTACGAAAAATGTAAACAACTTCGAAATCCCACGTTTTTGCACGACAGATTTTTCCCTAACTTCGCAAATAAGCCTCAGAGCTCTCTAGTTTTACAACTGCAAGTTTGAAGGCAATCGTGACCGTAGAACTCGCTGCACAAAATGCTGGTCAAATTTAACCTTAAAATTCTACGCTAACACATTTGTGAAAGTCGACGCACAAATAGAGGAAGACTGCCGACAGACTATCTCCTATCTGAAAGGATATAATTCCTATCTAAAGCTTTATTGAAGAAACAGAGTAATGAGAAACGTACGGTGAATACAGTTAGCACTACAAGAAGAACAACTTTACGCTGAGTGCTCTGTAATATTAAAGAACTTCTATTCATCAAACTCAGTGACTTTGTATTAGTCCCCCTCTTTTGAAAACAAACCTTAACAAAGCAAAATATAGCTTCTACGAAAAACTGTCAAGAGTTTTTAGCATCGCAGGTTCCCAGTGAAGAGAAATAAGGCCACCAACTCCAGCTGCACTTCTAACCATCTATTTTTTAGCTGTAATGAAACCCTCGTATTTGGTAATTTATTCACGCTTTTTGAGATTTACCATCACAATCGCACGGGCAGTTTGCTGTTGGGGATAATCAGGAAGAATAAGACGATTGTCATATTTGTCTTCATCTTTATTCCTAAGTGGTAAACTTCCCGTGCGAATGTGATGGCAAATCTAAAAAGCTTGAATAAATTACCAAAGAAAGGATTTCATTGCAGCTGAAAAATGGATGGTTAGAAGTACGGGAGTTGGTGGCCTTATTTCTCTTCAAAACGGGAACCTGCAACGCTAAACTCTCTTGACAGTTTTTCCTAGACGCTATATTTTGCTTTATTAAGATTTTTTCCAAAAGAGAGGGGCAAATACAACGTAAGTTTGATGAATAGAAGTTCTTTAATATTACTGCGCACTCAGCATATAGTTGTCCTTCTTGTAGTGCTAACTATGTTCGCCGTAGGTTTCTGATCACAATACTCTGTTTCTTGCTATAAAGCTTTAGGTAGGAATATCCTTTCAGATAGGAGATAGTCTGTCGGCACTCTTGACTACCTCTATTCGCGCGTCAACTTTCACAAATGTGTTAGCGTAGCATTTTAAGTTTAAATTTGACCAGCGTTTTGTGCAGCGATTTCTACGGTCACGATTAATTGCCTTCAAACTTTCAGATGTAAAACTAGAGAGCTCTGAGGCGCTGAAGTTAGGGGAAAATCTGTCTCGGGATTTCGAAGTTATTTACATTTTTCGCAAAAATTCGGTTTTAGATATATGCCGATATCTCAAAGGTTTTTTATATCTACAAGAAAACAAATAACATTTTCTTAAAGTTCCGTTATTATTTATTTGGTATGCTAAAAAGCATAGAAATCGGTTGAATCTTTCATTCTGAAAAACGCAAATAAAGAACATAACCAACACGCATATAAATAGGTTCGGGCCACCCTTAAGGGGCCCGGAGAACGTTCTCTGTTAATTGGTTTCGACACTGCGTGAAAAAAGTTTTTTTACGACTATTATCATTATAAGATTTGAAATGAAGAATTATTCCAAGACTTTAGACAAAACTGCATTTTTTTGCTCTTGGCCGTCCACCGCTCAAGAACTGGTCATTTTATACCACGGGAAGAGTCTCGTCTTGCGCCCAGGGTGTTCGATCAGTTTTTTCAGTCTCAACTGTTTGTGTAAGGGTAAACGCACTGTAGACCGAGTTCCGGGTCGGGCGCTCTTTTTCCCGCTTCTAGATTTTTTTGGCTGTACACAGGACGCCTAACCCTCCGCTGGTACATTTTTAAATGCCCGAGGAAGGTAAGGTGCCACTTCTATACTATTTAGTAAGTGCTCGGACGACGATCCAAGTTCTGGTAAACTGAGGACTCTGTATATTGATTAGTTAATCTAGAGTGAAATGTCCGTTTTCCAGTCATTAATTCATAAAATTGTCACTTTTTCAGATTCCATGAACTCCACCGATGAGTTGGTCGACCCATTTCAGCCACCGTCAATTATTCACCAAGTTACCATCATCGTAGTGTACAGTATAATGCTTCTATTCTCTTTGAGTGGTAACACAATCATCATCTTCATCGTGTTTACAAGGCCTTTTATGAGATCAGTCACAAACTGCTTAATTGCCAACATGGCCGCCGCAGACCTCCTTATGACATTCAGTGCCATGCCCTATTCGGTCGCCTACACGTACGTTGCAAGCCGCTGGTTCGGTGGCATTATGGGTATGATCACGTGCAAGTTACTACACTTTTCAATCGCTCTGTCCATTGCAGCATCCATTTTAACGCTGACAGTGATAGCGCTGGATCGCTTCTTCGCCGTCGCATATCCATTTAAACGTGTAAGCGTCATTCGTCACATTCCCAGGACAAACATGCTTATTTGGCTGGTATCCGTATTATGTATGTCACCCTACCTCTATTACTACAAAAGCGATCTACTCGAAGATAACAATTACCACTGCTTTCTATTGTGGGAGCCCTTGGCCAATTCTTTTACAGCGTTAAGGATTTATTTTTCGTTTATTTTCATCGCCCTATATTTGGTGCCTGTGATCGTCATTTGCATATTCTACAGTATTATTTCTTTCAAGCTATGGGCTCGACGAATTCCTGGCAATCCAACAGAAGTTAGTCTCAGAAATGAAGAACTTAGCAAGCGGAGGACTATAAAAATACTCATCATTATTGTGGTGGTTTTCGCGCTGTGCTGGCTACCTGCGCATTTAATGCACTTTTTCATATTCTTTGAAGATAAAACATTTAACAACCTGTCTTTGATAATCATTTTTGGTATCTCGCACGCAAACTCCGCAATAAACCCTTACCTTAACATTGTACTGAACAGAAATTTTCGCCGCCCTTTTCTCGAAGTCCTCAGGAGTTGCTTCGGACCGGCCGGGAACTTGAGATCCCGCGGAAGTCATACGACTCCCAACACCGTATTGGCCCAGTGCATGTCTCAGGAATACGTCGTCGAAGATACAGCACTTGGAAGGAGAGAACTGTATGAATTATCCAACAAAACAGAGCAAAACGGTGATTTGCCAATTATTAGACAGATAAGTCTTTTAGAGGTGAGAGAAACCGAAGTCGTGGTGGATCCTGCGAGTAATGTGGAGAAACGAGCAACAGTCAGTCCCTGGCAAGACAAGGAGAGCTCAGTTGCAGAGGCAAGAGAAAGCACAACGATTTCATGAAAAAGCTTTTGCTGAGAACATTTTAATTGCCTGAATCTGGCCTTGAGACAGTGCATACATGCTGGTTCTCTATTGCCCTCTTCATACTTGATTTCTGAGCGAGCCACCATTTATTGATATCAATAGATCGTATATGAATACAAAGTAGGCTGGACAGCATTACCCAACCAGGGGCCGATCCAGGATTTTTTTAAGGAGGGGGTGCACTCGTCTCTTGCTCTACTTCAACACCAATAAACCACATAGTTTTTTTTTTGCATAATACCAGTTGTATTAGAAAACTGCAGGCTATCTCAGGAAGGGGGCGGGGGTGCGCACCCCCTGCACCCTCCCCCTAGATCCGCCCCTGCCAACAGTATTCTAACATTGTTATTTTGATGCCATAGATTCGATGCATTTATCAACGGCCATGAGGGTAATCTGTAAGTCATACAACCAGGATTCAATAAATAGTTTCCCTGATATGCTTTTTATACTGCACACATGATTATAGCATATTAATAATGAATTTACAGGGAAAACGTCTTGCGATATTATATCCTGTTAAAAGAGTGCAAAAGCGATCAAAAACCCCTACCCCGGGCTAAAAATTGGCCACAAAAATCAACAAATCCCCCAACTTCCTAGCCTCCCACGCAGGTGTATTTAGGGGAGCTCCACAATTGTGGGAGGGACGAAACACGAGCTCCCCTAAAAACGCCTGCGTGGGAGGCTAACAACTTCCCTCCTGGTCCGTTTATGTCACCGTGGTCAACCCACCCCCTCCCACAGGGTGGTCGCTGTTGCTCGTCAGAAAACAAGTGACCGGCCGCAAGGCAGGCAATAAGACCATGCTGTAGGGAAGGTAATCCTCACTGTTATAACCGACCGGAATTGCTTTTAACAATCAGAAAGTCTAAACTTAAATTTAAAACTAATTTTAATTTTTAATTAAATTTAAGTTTAGACTATAGTGAGAAAGAGATTTAAATATCCTTGACGAATCCATGTTCTTTATTGCACCTTTGTTCTCGCATCAATATTAATTAACTATCTGCAGATATAACCCGTGGTATGCATTTACCTTGTAAAATTAGTTCCAATCAAGTTTTTTTTGTATTATTATTCTTTTGCAAATAAACCAATGCAGAGTTAGGTCGCTTTACTACTCCCTAATTTATGACTTTAAGATAACTGACTTTGTAAGTTGAAATTAATTTTAAAAATCACTTGTGTTGAAATTTGTTCCCAAAGTCACATGAAGAGCGCGAACACATGGAAGCAGACTTGACCCTGGTTATCACCCTCGGAGTGGTTTTTCAAGTCGTCTCCGTACCAAAACCGCAATTTTTCGTCGGTTGGCAGGTACAACGGCTGACCAAAGTTCGCGAAGACCAGCTCGTCAGAATATCTGAGGAGAAAGAGCTCAGATAAATACACTGCGCCTTTCGACCTCTCTAACAACGCCCAGCGTAGTAAAGTTTTGGGAATGGCCTACTGGATGTAGGCATTTCCAGACTTCCTCGGGAATTGACTATACCCAACTAACCTAACCCAGCCAAAGCCCTGAACCAAAAGCGAGCGGTTTTGTATGAAACGGTTAATCTTAATCGAACACAACCTAAGAAACACACTGAAGCCCGTGACTCAGGCATGGCACGTTAGTCTTTCATTGCATCGGTCCGTTTTTATTGCCAGGTTGGCTAACATAGGACCGTGCTTGAGGAGGCTGTAAACCGTCTTTTTTACTACCTGTTCCTCACTGGTTTGACTTGCTTTGCCGCTCGCACTAATAAGATATAACTGTGGGTGATTAGCTGTTGGCTCACGGCACCGAACTGTTACTGTAAAAGGCTCAGGGGCACCCAATGGATCTGTTCCGCAAAAGATCTGTTCTTCAGGCAATTTATTGATGGCAGGGAGATGTGCAAGTAATGATATGTCCCTGGAAAGAAAATGTTGCAGGCTCTGGCTGTTTGAGGATATTTGATGTGTAGAATAGGTGCTATGTGTTCTTTAACCACTGAAGGGGTGAATTGGTCCCTCGGTCACTCCCATTGTCCTACCGACGCCCCCCCCCCCCCCCCCCCCCCCCCCTCGCTCAGTGTTTTTTTTTTTCTCACCCCCCCCCCCCCCCCTGTGTCTTTTCACAACCCCCCCTTCTCCACATCCTCTCTACGATGCTCGTGGCGCGCATAGCGCCTCCCCCTCCCCCTTCTCCTTATAGGTGGGTCCTAGGAAAAAAAAGTGTGCGGGCGTCGGGGTTTTGGGGGTATTTTGCGTGGAAAATAGGGGCTGTGTTTTTTTTAACCCCGGGGGGGGGGGATTGGCCCCCCGGCCCCCCCCCTTTCCCTCCCCCCCCCCCCCCCCCCCCCCCTAAATTAGGGTCTGAATTTTGCTTTATGACCACACCCAAACTGGCCAGTTATGTCTATACACACGTCTGCTGTGAAACTTCCTAGTAAGTCAGGTTGCAGAGTTGTAGGCGCACCTTGCTGGCTCTTAACTCTTCCATCAGTCTTGCTGGGAGTGAGGAACAGATACATTTTTCCCAGCAATCTCCCAAAATACTTAAAATGGTTTCAGGAAGCTTTATTCACGCTTTGTTGTTGTTTTTAGGTCTTTTTCTCAAAATTTCCCATTGGCTGCCCCTGAAGGCTGACCTGTGGCTGAACTAGGAAGGTGACTACGTCCTTAGATTCACAAGGGAACCCAGCGAATATGAAGTTATATATCTCAACTTTTAAAAAAATATATTGAACAGCAACGGGATCAGTTAAGCCGTCCAATAGAATCATGTCAGACTTACACTTCGTTAACGAAAGGTATAGAGTACCACAGTCCTGATCCAGCACTATTTTTGATGATTTCCGGAAGTGGAAAGATAACATGGTTGTTTTTATCGGTGATGATAATGTTCAGCGGCTGAGCTCGACCGCTACAACCCCATCTGCTGTTATGAGCCTCGTTGCTGACGCACCTAAGTCAATAAAAACAATGACTATTTATTCAAAATATTTCACCGTTGCCTTTGATTCCATTCCTGGGTTAATTCTGCGTATTATACCAACTGGTGCATACCATATTTGGGAGATGCAAGCAACATACCATCGTTTTGACGGTATTTGCTTGGAAACGAGATTGATTGATGGTATATTTTTCAGTGCAATTAACGAGGCTGCGCAACGCAAGAATATGCAAAACATGTTCATGACATGTAAAATGAAACAAAACTGAATGTAAGGATGGCACTACGGCAAAGGGCTGATTTATTATGGCCAATATTTCGGCTAACAAAATTAGCCTTAATCAGCTCTCTGCGTAGTGCCAGCCTTGCATTCAGTTTTGTTTCATTTTACACATCAAGTGACGTTTGGCTACAACATCTCTTTAATTAGAGATCCGGCAACAGGAACCAGTCAGTTATATTTACGTGTTGCGTGGACTTCTGCGTTCAAACAGTTTTTCATATTCATACTGTGTTATCTGTAAGAAAAAACATCCGTTTATATCCTGAAACCGTGCTGAGACTGAAATATACCAAAGTTTTGAAGAAAGTCTACGAATAGGTAAGCTTATTAAGAAGTTAAAAGTATTTTTAATAAATAATGATCTGCATAATTCTTCACGTTGCATCATACGAAGGCGAATTCAATAATTGTAAATTAAGTATTAATTCTAATAACGGTTCGCTTTTCTTTCTTTTGAGCGTCGGCATATAGCGACTGAGTTGGGACTTGTGCTCTAGCCACCATTTATTGAAGAACCATATGCTCTAGTCACATGTCTGACTTTGCTCACCTCACTGAATACTTCACAAGCGGTTTGAAGTGAGATCAGGGTCCTAAAGCGACGACCGGAAATACGTCTGCTCTTCGCAGGCTCAGCGGGGCCCGTTCAGGGCTCGAAAGTCTCAAAAACTTGCCAGGCCGCGAAAGCTGTTTTGTTTACATCGAATCGAGGTTGAATAAAGATTTCAATGTTTTCGCAGATATTATCATTAAACTATGTTAGCTAGGACCCACTCTCCCAAGGCCCCTAATATGTCAATGCAAAAGTATTTCAGAACCGAAGTGAGTACGGTGTGCGAGGTCACTAAGCCGGCAATTATCACAGGCAGCCCAAGCTCAGCATGAGGGTTTTAATCACAATACGTATGGTATCAATGCATAATCCCCAAATTGGCTTGAACATAAAGGATTTGTAATTCTTTGTTTCACTGTCACGCAATGGAAAAATAACTTTGGAACCGTTGAACGAAAGAAGCAAAGAAAATGAAATGTTACAGAAGACTCATAAATATACAACACACCCAAGTCTCAGGTCTGTGCGGAGCGAATCGTTTCACGCAAGTTTATAGAGCTTTGTATGGGGACGCCATGCAACATGGGACTGACCAATATGTTGACCAGAAATCAGCAAAGACATCAGGCTTTCACCTTTGCGATAAAAGTTATTTCTTTTTGCTTGTAAGCAAATTAGTATTCGCAAAAACACGTTTTGTACCGCTTAAAAGTATAAACTGCTGAAAATCATTAGCTGTTCTTAAACCAGACATCTCTGCCGAGATTACCACTGTTGTGCCATCGGCTCCTGGCACTGTAAAAATTTGGAAATTCAAAATGCTGTATTTTCCAAATGGAATACGCTTTTCAGCCTGGTATTCAAAAGAATTCCTCGCTATTTTGATTTTAGAATTTGATGACGTCACGGTGAAAGCACTCTCTTGTCTCCTACGCATTAGACTGCGAGCAGTTTCCTATTTTTCTTTGCAAAGTTACTGCACGCGAAAAACAAGTACGCGACCGGCGAAGCCGCGAACCGCGATAAACAAGGGTGTCGTCTGGTCCCAATATAACGTCGTGGTTTGCAATCTCGCTGGCTGAGATAAGAACTGCCGTCTTGTTTTTGTCCCTTAAAAGAGAAAAGGCGGACTGCAAGCAGTCTACCTGGACGCATATTCTACTTGCGTACACATTATTCACTTTTTTGGTAAATGTCTAGACTGCAAGACCCCCAAGGACGCTCTTCTGAACTCACTTTTCACTGAAGCGCCACGTACATTGTTTGGTCTCAATTTCAGGGCCAGTAACCAGTCACATCGCGTTGCGTGACTAGCCTAAAAACGGCTGCAAAGGAAACTACCAGTCACAGAATACTTCACCCTCGGTTGAAGCACAATCTATCATTCTATGGAGATGGCGAGACAAATCTCTGCTGCTTTTCTGTTCACTTTGCTCGCTAATATAGTTGTAAGGGTGGATTCCTCCAACCACGCTAGCTTTGAATCGGGTGATGGCAATTTTCGATTGCAATGGACATACAACAACAACACGTTGTTTTTCAACATGACATGTAAAACTACAGGCTGGTGTGCAGTGGGTTTTACTACTTCCGCTGATGGGAAACGCATGAAGAATTACGATATCGCTGTTGGTGGAGTCACCTCTAATTATTCCCAATATATTTTTGTAAGTATAGTAGAAATTTAATTTAATTTAAGATTGCGTTGATTGGGTCGGGTCGGGTCGGGTAGCCTTTGGCTATATTTTAAGAAAGATAGGGTTAGGGTTATTGAGGAAGTGTTTGGAAGGCCATTGTTTTTGGATCCTCTGAGGTTTTCCATTTTGTTATCGTCAACCGAAACTGGGACGGTAGTAGTAGACGTATTTCATAAACTCGCTATATAATCTTTTCGTTACGGCTCACTCATCGATCTACAAGGTTACTAGTTTTGATTTCAGCCGTATAAATTAGAAAGGTTTCGTTGAGATGTTAATTGCTTTATGGCGACTTTGCAGCTTCGCCGTGCCAGCAACGTTGGCATTTTCAGTGGTTGATAGTTTGAGAAGCCGGAGCATAAGTTGCAACCCAGCCACATTTAACTTCATACCGCGAAGCTTAACTTTGACTGATCTTAACTCGTTTCAGTTACGAATTTGCTCTGTGTAAGTTGAAAGTGTTTCTTGCTGTTTTCCGAGGCAGAGTGATAGAGTCTCTTGCATGTAAATTCGAAGTTTTTCTCTGAATAGAATTGGAAAGGTCGGTAAATCAACAAACGACCATCCTGCAAACAAATACGTATTTCCGGTCGTCACTTCTTTCAGAAATACGCCTGACTTAGCAAACGACGAAACGGCTGAGACGACGAAAGGGCGAGGCGTTCGAAAGCCGGGAGGGGGCGTTCGAAACGGCTGAGCCAAATCTGATCGACGGAAATATTTGAAAATGGGAAAAATTATTACCATAGCTTGCAAAACAGGCCTTTTCTTTCGCGTTTTTTAGGAAAGCGAAGGCAAGCGCGAAGCGAGCGTGGAGGGCGAGACGCACGCGATCGAGGAGGCGGAGAGATCGTCTTTCTCCGCATCCAAGTTCCACCAGAGGTAGCCGAAGCTCGAAATATAAGCATCGGCGAACATCGACTTTGTTGTACACAAGAGAGAATCTTGTTGCATACCATTCGAAATATAAGGATTTATATGGAAAAAAAACCTAGGAAAATGAAAGGATTTCAATAAAAAACAGCTTACCTTACATAAAATATGTTACGTCTCTCCTGTGTGGTGCGTGGGCCGATTTATGGCCGTTTAATGGGTTGTACTGTAAACGGTTTTCTCTCTATATAAAGGTTTACCAAGCTTGGTCGCCAAAAACAATACAGTGGAACCCCGTTAATATGGTCAATGGACCAAAAAAAAGTGGCCGTAATAACGAGGTGACCGTATTACCAAGGTGGCCGTAAGGCGGAGTTTCTCTGTATAACACACAGTTTGACTGAAAAAGTTCTCAATAAAGGAACGACCATTAATCATTTTACGGGGAAGTGTTTTCGTTGAGTGATTTACATGATTTAGTTTGAGCGAGATAATTTTTCTGAGCCTATCATCATTTTTTGGTTAAAATAACTTGATGCATGATTTTGTCTTCTTTCCAGGGCGGTTTCCGAGATATTTTTTTTTCTTGCTGAAAACAAACCAATCCGCGCAGCTCATAAGATTTATAAGAGGGTCTCAATAGTCTTAACCGTTTGCCCAAAAAAAGCCGAAAAATTTACTTAGAAAAATTTATTGTTGCAAGGACCATTTGTACAAACAGCAGCGAAAAATCTTTGAATAAACGGCAGTGCTTACAGCCAGTGATTTTACAAGTCGGTCTACATTTTGAAGATATACCTGGATAGGAGAACACTTATTCGAAGGGGGCACTTGGTACATAATCTTTTTAGCTTTAAGGGGCGTATAAATTCCGACCGGATTAATGTTAAATCTTGTTCCCTAAAACCTTCAGCAGATACAAAAATAAACGTAGAACTGGAGGCCACGATAAAAGACCAACAAATACTGAAACACATAGGAAGGTATTAAAAAGTGCGATGCTTTATTTTCAAACTCTTAACCGACAGGGGTATCATAGTGTTTCCACTTCAACCCCCAACAAAGATCCAACTCCAGATTACAAGCTCACAGCCGCCAGTGAGGAAAACGGATATACAAGAGTGGAGTTTAACAGAATTGCTACAACTGATGAAGAAGATGATCCGCATGATGTACAGTTTAGGGTAAAAAATTAGTCTTGTCATGATGTTTAAAGAAGTAACGTAACGGTTTCTATATGATAGAAAATTTATTAATTTAATTTTATCCAATTTCATATATTGTTTCTAATCCATTTTAAGCTCATCGACCCTTAACTACCCTTAATCCTTTGTATAATTCTCTATTGCCTCTTCGCTTTCTTTCTATTTTTATGACCACACTGTCATTTCGATGTTCCTAATTCAACTTTAAGTTAATTTTGGAAATTGCAAAATAATTAAAGTGCTGCGTCAATCTCGTTTTCACTGGCTTCTCCTTAGAAATTTCTACTGGAAGCGATGAGCGTTACGTATGTTCAGATTCAAGAAAATGAGTGGACACAAAAAGTCTCAAAAAAGTTTTACAAGATTTTCATGGGAAAGTGTTGTGTTGCTTTCCTCCTGTGTGGTTATTTTCCTGATCTAATACTATATACGATTTCTTTATGAGTGTAAAAGGGGAAAACAACTGAAGAAATCGCTTATAAATCCCTTACAAATCCTATATATTTTCAACCATGTTGACATTATGATCAAATGACTTATGGTACACAGGTTCTCATTCTGAGCTTGGAGTGCCTGTGTTTAGTTTTTAAGATAGGTGTCCAGATGTGGGCGGATAAAAACTGCATAGTTAAGTGGTGAAATTGCCCGGACCTTAGCTTATTGATTGATGTCCCTTTAAGAAGGTTTCCTTTAGCAAAAGCTCGCCGAGTGTACCATAGTTAGAGCACATTTACCTCTTTCCTACCTTTACTGCTTTATGGAGCATCGTAACGACAAATATCGCTGTTTTAGGCCAATTCTGTGCTTAAGTTATTGCTTAGTGCCCTTAAACCACGCCCAAAATAAGTCATGAAGAAGATATCAAACAAGCGTCATCAGGGATATGGCACAATTGCTTCAAGTTTTAATACATGTCCATCCTTGTGATCCGCAGAAACAGACAACAGAAAACAGTTTCAACAGCTAAATAATTATAGCAAAACCGGACCATTAATTTTACTTTAATTTGGAATTCAAGTGATGCGAAGACACGTTCAAGCTTTTTAAAGATATGGTAAATAGCGTGACAAGACCCTTAAATTACTTTATTAAACTTGCAGAAAAGTACTGAGGTTTGGATTGTGTGGGCATGGCGAGTTGACGACGACGCGAGTTCAGATCTTACCCCTGCTTTGGTACACAGCCAAAATGGGGTATCATCTAAAAAATACAACCTGATAATGGAGGCTACGTCCAACGGGCCAAGATCTACTCCCTATAGTTTGACCTTTGCCGGTACCTTGTTTGTTTTGATTATGTTTGTAACTTCCTTTTAACAGCTTTGTTGGTGGCCGTCTGTAGTGCAACTTTAATTTTTTAAATGTTAACTGATAAGCAGATGTAGGATGACAAGATTAACACCAAAAGAATAAGTCAAAATAAATACGCAATAGATGAATAAAATCATTTTCTGGTTTGTCTTCAATTCAGTAGTATTTAATCATCCACCTGTTATTTAACAATTATTCCTCGAGCCCGAATGGGCTCGATTGACTCAGAGGCCATTAGGGCGAGAGGAATAATTGTTTTAGTAAAATCCAACTAGTTGGTCAAAAATATTGAGACAAAACAACTTTAGCTAGTTAAAGCAAGACTTTAATCCTTTTTTGCCACCAAAAATCCGGCGCTTTTCGCTACTAGTAGGGTATAACATATAGGCTAGTAGTAGCTCAACCAATCAGAACGCAGCATTGATAATGGACCACTAGTTGGATTTTACTAATAAAACTTATTACATGTGTTTTTCGGTGTATGTGAAGGACACATTTTCTTGGAACCGGATACTAAGTTCATTTTACTTTCTCTTTTCGTCCTCAGTTAAAATAAGAATTTTTTAGCCCGGTATAGTCACAGATTACGGAATTGAACCCGGCAACTGGGACTGAGGGCGCGAAAAAAGAGCGTTGGTAGATTTTAGTTTCATTTTTGAATAACTTTTTCCTCCTTCAGCCCCTCCCCCAGAAACCCTCCCCAGCTTGTTCGCTTTCACCGCTGACGTAGGTTATACATTGGTTGTTTAGTTACTACTTCTTTCCTCTCACCTTATTTCTCCTGACACATACTGGAGTTTCAAACCTCCGAGCAGTTTACTCTCACCAGAGTATTGCAAAAAACCGTACCCTTCATCTCTAGCTTTCACACACACTGGAAGACGGCTGATCTTCGTCCAAACTCCAGCTGAGGGATCTGAGGTCACGAGATACATGCAACGTGGTCATTTCAGTTCTTTGATTCATTAATTGTGTTAATTATTTGTTTTTAAAGGAATATTGCCCAGTTCATTCGGCTTCTGTAAACATCATCGCTTATTTTTATACTGAAATGTTTTCCTTGAAGGTAAAGTAGCTATGGCGAATGCAAGTCTCCGTAGATTTCCCAAGGAGAAAAACATTCACACAAAAAAAGCAGTTCCACGTTATTCGTATTAAGACTTAAAGTGTGACCTTAAGCGGAAGAAGACGTTTCCAAATAATACAATTTAAAGTAAAATAGTCTGAGAACTGAATTGCCTGCGTGCAGACGTCTCCTAAAAAAAAATATCTGGTTAAGATTGTAAAGAGCATCATTCTCACAATGTGCTGGGCTTGCTTGATGCGTGCCTAATAGTTTGATTGTGGTCAAACAAGCAGAAAATTTGTCGGTAACGTAAAGATTATTTTCACTATTCCATACATCCTTGGTCACTTTTTCAGAGTGGAACTTCCACTTAGAAATAAAACGCTGGCTTGTTTGCAAGCAAACCTGTTTCCAAGACAGACATGTGGTAGCCACATCACCGACTACCTCGATTTAAACAGCCTCCTTACAATATATCTTAAAGAAGCTCTCAGAAGATAGTACATGAACCACCCCTACAGATCAATCTGAAAGATTTGATGGTAGCTTACTAGAGGTTGAAATTACAGTGTTTTTACTGAGAGGAATGAGTTTGTTTGTTTGTTTTTTTTTTTCGGTTCGTGATCTCTTGTGGGAGGTGGTTGTCCATCTTGGATGTTCGACTTTTATCATGGGAGTACGGAGAAAAATCCCGCTGCTTAAAGCTAGATACATCTTAGTGGTTGACAGGTTTACGGAATCTTAGCTGATGCGAGCAAAGTTTTTTATCTCTGTATCCAATTGTATCCAATAAACGAACATTACCACAACAGCCCAGATTTAGTGAGTACTTCCCGGTTTTGTCTTTTTGAAGATGTTAAAAATCATCTTAGTTAAGTCGTATAGTCTTAAAATATTGTATAAAAGTCAGGTTACAATCTACCTTGTCCTTCAACCATGGGAAGACCAATAAAAGCCAGCAAAATTATGTAAAAAATCATTCTTTGAAAAGCTAACCGGTCGTTAAAGTGTGAAGTCAGAACAGAGTAGCTATCACTCTGCTTCTTTAATTTTATCCGCACAAACAGATGTAACCAACTTCTGGAAAAGTTATTAGAAAGATTAACCAACGTCACGACATCAAGCTTTGGTGTGTCAAAATCTTTTCTTTCTTATCAAAAAATCAAACAATAGCTAGAATGTGTATGCTGTGAAACAAAAACATTAGTGAACAACCTATTGATTTTCAAATTAAAGAGTCATCAAACACATTTTTACAATTACCACATTTGTGTTACCATGGATATTTTTGGGGGGGAAATCGTTTAAAAATTGCCCCCAAAATTGTTCATAATAAAAAAAAAAAAAACCTTTCGTGAGCTGTGCATTTTGTACATTTATTGCAAGGAGCCACCACGGGTGCCGGGGAAACTGGCTTTGCCTGTCTGGCGGTATTATTCTCACCTTTGTTACGTTAATTACTAATTATTGGATTCGGCTTTCGCATGATATGAAGAATTATGCAGATCTGCATAATTCTTTACATTATACGAACCAATAACTGCTTTATTATTCATTCAAAACTTTTCCAACCTTAACACATTCTGATCCCTTACCACCTTCAAAACATTAATTTGTCTCGGTGTTCCTTTCAAAACAGCTGTATTAGCAACCACGCCTACGGTTGCCCCTTTTTCTGTCAACAATTGACGTCAAAGTCCCAAATTTGGAGTACGATTGCTGGTTTAGCCGGGAGATTTAAGCCAAGCGGAAAACAGAGAAAAGGTTTGAATGGATAACAATAACAATTATTCGTTCTAGGTTTTGATGTGTTCTCTGATTTGCATTCACAATTAACCAGAAATTGCTGAGGAGCAGGGAAATGACAAGACGAAGGGAAGTTTACACATGCAGGCCGAGGTTGACATGTTTTGTTGAAATTGAAAATATTTTAAATGAATAATAAGGCAGTAAATGAATGGGCTCTTGGTGACAAAAATGAAACCGGTTTCAGGAAATGAGGAAGGAGCGTGGCCGTGCGCATAGAGCGTTGGAATTTGAATCCAGAGGCCCCGAAAGTTCATGCAGTCAAGTCCCGCGCTGACCCGCTAGCTGGATTTGTTCTCGGTAGTTGCGAGTTTCACTCCTCTGTCACTCATACCCGTTGTAAATAGCCAACTGGTTTGCCACCGACCAGTTGGGATTCTTTACCTTGTTACATTTGCTTTGAAATATTTGTTTCTGTCCTTCTTTGAGGGCCACAATGAAAACTACTACGGGGCATGCGCGTTATCAGTAAATGCCATGTGCTACGTCACTAAGTCATTTTTTTTATTAAGACTACGTAGCCATCGACTACGCTTAGTCTTCGCTGTTGTGTAACACAGTTTTACTCCTAGCACTACCCAAAGTTTAACATTTTTACAATTTTATCTTCTACGCAAAATTCTTCATAATCAATTGTACTACTAAAGGTGCAACTGAAGAAATTAGGGTAGGGTTTTGCCCCCATGCTACAGAGTTAAAACTGCATAAATGATACAGATTACATGGCACTTCTACACTGGGCTCTCTCTCTCAGTTTCATACTGTTATTGAATCCGTCGTTGATTAATAGTTTTCTTCTCGGGGCATTATTGTTCATTCGTCGAGTCTTTCGGAGATTCCAGATAATTTCACAACACGCTTTTCGATACAATCCATTGAGTGACGTCACCAGTATGGGGTTTATTGCGCTGTGAGAATGACACGCCCAAAAAGACAAGAGTGTTGCAACAACAGGCACAGCAATGTCACTCCAAAAGAGTATTAACAAATGCATGATATGAGCGGGAAGCCAACAAAAGGCAAATGACATTACAAGAATGATGAGCATTTTCACAGTTTTCTTATTTTGAGCTTCTCGTTTTAGTATTGCCAGGCGCGAACGACCACCTGGAGCATTGTTTCTCCACAGCTTTCGACAAATAAACGCGTACAATGTTCCGATAAACACCAGAGGAACGACATAAAGAAGTAGGAAGACGAGAGCAAAAAAAACCTGAAGGAATTTGAAATACTCGTCTTTTACAACACAGTAGCTCGGACCCTCGGGACCAATGTTTTTTACTTCGTACACAACGAAGTATGGACTCATTAGTAAACAGGAGGTACACCAAATGAAAGAATAACTAAGTCTTGGATTTTTAGTAAAAGTTACACGCTTGAAAGGAAACAATATGCTAAAGAAGCGATCCAGGGAGACAAGAGCGTGTGTAAGTATGGATGCCGAGATGGAGAGGGCAAGGGCATACTGTATGATTTTACAAGTTACACCACCGAATATTCCAGAAATCCAAACGTTCCTCAAATACAGGAACACTACGGAGTATGGCATAGCAAAAAAGGTGATCACGAGATCTGCTATCGCCATGTTCGCCAACAGAAGGTTGGTTGTCTTCCTCAGGTGCGGCTTCTTGAAAATGACATAAACCATCATCAGGTTGCCCACAAAAGATATGATAAAGATGACGACATACGCTAACGTCATTCCAGCCTGCAAATTCAGAGGAAGGTGATTGGCTTGATCCTCAATGCTTCCATTAGAACCTTGTAAAAGAAAATGAAAATGTCACACAGTTGACACTAACATAATATATACAATTAGCAATTATCGTATGAGGCTGAGTGTAATGAATTAGGTTGATCATGGAAGGTATTGTCCGAGATCTGCCTAATTCTTCGTATCACACGAATAGCCCCATGCACTAAGGGAGTCTAGTAAGAAACACTTGGATTCTGGATTCCACGCCGTGGAGTCCAGATTCCAGGTACTGGCTTCTAGAGTTTTTTCAGTGGAACTCAGATTCCGGATTCCAAATATCGCTATTGAGATTCCGGATTCCTTGAGCTGTATTCCAGATTCCAAAGCCCAGGATTCCGAATTCCACAAGCAAAAATTTAGCAGATTCCGGAATCAGGA